CGAGTGTGGCCCAGGGCACGATTCCGTGGGCGAAGAGGTGACGCTTGTGGCGACGGTGACCATCAACGAAGCGCCACCGACCGCCACCCCACTGCTGGGCGTGAGGACAGCGGAGGCTGGAATGTATCTGGGGCTGTGGTACGACGAGCAGAAGCGCTGGAGGACGAAGTTCAGAGCAGAAGCGGATGCACAAAGAATGACGTGGGAGGAGGGGAAGGCATACCGAGTGGTGCTCACGGTGGAAAACGGCACGGGCTCGGCATACGTCGACGGACAGCTTGTGGGGAGTTTGGAGGAGAAACCTCCGGCTGGTTTTGTTGCTTTGCCTGAGCATGTGTTTTATCCCGAAGAAACTCTGCTATGGAGGAGGCCGCCGGAGAGGGTCTCGCGCATCCTCGTTGGGGAATACAGGTACGGCTAAGTAAACGCAGAGGTCCACGTGACGGTGAAGAACGTCTTGCTGTACAACCGCTGCTTCAACGCCAGTGAGGCTGCCGCTCTGCAGGAGAAGGAAAAGGAGGAGACCAGCGTGACGGCGCCGGAGCCGGGGGAGGTGCCTCGCACCGCCGCATCCGCCGCCAGTGACCCGACGAACTCTGCGCATGGCGAGGCCGCAGCAGCTGGCGGTGTGACGGAGGAGCCGTCAGTGGAAGCCGGCACTGGCTCCGCGGCGACCGACGCGGCTGGGAGTTCTGCGGGAGTGCGTCGGTGACGCGCGGTGCACCGGCGCCGGGCCTAAACGCCTCCGCCGCACTTGCGAAGGAGGCTGCGGGCACAGTGCAGAGGGAGGCCGGCGGCGGCGACGGCACTGCGCGTGGGAGTGTGTCTGTGGTGCTCTCGCTGCTCATGCTTGCGCTGTGGGCATGTGTTTCGCTCCTCTGAGCCGGAGAACACGACAGCGAGGGAGGAGGCGGTGCGGCCCGCGCTGGGATGCGTGCAAAGTTTGTTTGGCGTTCTTTGATTGTTCTCTCCAGTGCAGCCCTTTTTTCTTTTTATGTTAAGTACTTTTTGCTTTCTTTTCTTGTTGCTTACACTCTCGCTGTGAAGGTGGGCGAGAGCTCCCCGCGTGGCTGCTTGCGTCTCTGCCCAGTGCACGCAGGCGGGGGACGGTGCGCCGCAGCGATGGGGTGCGCGGGGGGTGACGCGTGGCCCGCGAAGGACACCACGCACACCGGAGGGGCTGTGAGGTATAAATGACCGGTGCGAACGTGAGGAGGGGTGCAATGAGGTGAGGTGTTCACCGTCTTTGCTTTTGCCGCGTGCATAAAATCCACGCGCAGTTTTGCGAAGCCACGCGACAGTTCGCTGCCGCTTCACTTTCTTTTTCTCTTTGGGGGGGGGGGAAGGAAACACTGTGGAGGGAAGTAATTCTTCTTTTGGGGTTTGTGGGGGATTTATACATGATGCAGGACGTTTTTTTTTCTCTTTTTTCTTCTTTGCTTTTCATCATATTTCCCGTGGCTGGCCGCCGCTTGGGCTGCGGTGCCGGCTCCAGCTTCAGTTGTTGCTTCATTTCCTTCCTGCGCCTCTGCTGTGCGTGTTTGTCTGCGTGCCGCCACGCGCTTCACTCTTCTCCCTCTTTGCGTTGCGTGACTGCAGGCACACACACACGCAACCGACGCGCATGTGATGCGCCTGTGGTGCCGTGCAGGTGGATGGCGTTTCCGCAGCCTGTGCTGGCAGTGCCGTGTGCGGCTGCTGCTGCGGTTTCCTCGCGGGCCGTGAAGAGAAGGGAAGGAAAACGCACAGCACGAGGGGGAGTGCGCTGTGACTAACTCGTTTTCCTCGCGGGAGCCGCCTCATTTGGGTGGTGGCTGCGGGCCCACTTCCCGTGTGCATGTGCGTGTGGGGGCGGCTGCTCTTCGCTGCTCCGTCGTGGATGACTGCCGGCTCTGTGCGTCTTTCTTGCGTGTGTGGCTGCGTGAAGTTGCTCGGCTGCCGCCTTTTTCTTTTTTTGCCACCTGCTCTCTGCACTGTCTCCGCTGCACTCCCTCTCCATCCCTCTACTTTTCTTGCTTCCTGCGTCTTTTTCCCCACTGACCTCAGCGAGTCTGTCACTCTGCTGCCACTACTACTACTTTTGCCGATGACGACGCTGGCGGTGCGGCGCCGTGTGGTGTGCGCCCTGGCGCTCCTCGCGCTGCTCTGCGGCTGCTGCGCCTCGTTCGTCTGCGGGGCGAATCCTGAGGAGGTGAATGTGTTGTTGGAGGTGTCGTGCCCGAACGAAAAAAAGAAGTTGCGTTGGCGCGTTGCTGGTGAGGAAACGTGGCAGAATTGTTCATTCGGTGTGAATGATATGTTTGGTTTGAGTGGAAAGTATGGCAGCCCGAGTGATTCCGTCTGCGCCTGGGCCGTGTTTATGTACCCGAGTCCCGTCCGTTATCCCGGGCGCAGTGGATCCGCAGCGACGGACGCTGTTGCCTTGACGCTGAAGTGCGGGACGGATAACAACAGCGGAGTGTACAAGCGGTGGCTAATCGCAAATAAAAGTAACACCGACCAACTTGCTGCTGCTGCGGGCAGCGATCCACCTGGCACGCTAACGCGCTGCACCACGCAAACGTCCAGTGGGGAAGCATGCGGAGAGGTGGTGGAGGAGGATGAGGAGGAGGACGAGGAGGAGGAGGAGGAGGAGGAGGAGGAGACGCAGCGGGGGGGAGATCCAACCGGAGCCGAGGGCAGGAAGACAGAGACGGCGCCCGCAAGCCGCGGAGGAGGGCCACAGCGGCCGCAGGGGGGAGATGCAGGCGCCGCAGGGGACGATCAGGGTGTCGGCGCCGAAGGCCCTACCGCACGGAACCACGCGGAGAACACTGCGGCCCCGTCGGCAGCCGCGGCGGCCAGCCAGCCGCACGAGAGCGGAGGGACGCAAACGCCCCCAACCTCTCAAGCCGAATCCGGCGCGTCCAGCCCCGCCCCTCCCGCCGGCGGCAGCGATGCAACCACCACTACTACTGCAACAGCAACCACCAGCACTTCGAGTGATGGGAGCCACGCGAAAAGCAAAGCGGGCGGCAGTGCCACCAACAGCAACACCACTCAGAACGCCGTGGCAAATGCTGCGGATCGCAGTGCCACCTCCACTCCGTTTGTGTGTGCGCCTCTCATGCTGCTACTCACGGCCGCCCTTGCCTGTGCTGCTGGGTAAGTGGTGGGAAGCAACCGCACGCAGACGCGCACACCCTGGCAGGGACGACGCGTAAACATTGTGCGCTCATTTTGCTTGTTGTCCCTGTGGGTCAATCCTCCTCTCCCTCCTGTGCTCTGAGGGATGGTTCCTTTTTTCTTCTCCTTCTCTTTTTACTTGCTTGGCCACCCCATGCACGTTCCCATGGGCGGCGCATCCTTTTCCCCCTCCTGTTTGCTGCCGCCATCCACACAAACACGCGGTGCCGGCCTCGTGGCTGTGCGTCGCACGGACCGCCCAAATGAGGCCCGAGGCCGCTGCCACCGTGAGGTGAGTGTGCGTGTGGAAACGTGATGTGTGGGCTCATGCAACCAGTCGGGTGTTTCTTTTCTTTTCATGTGGACAATAAACATATCCACGCAGCCGATGAATAAATAACCTGCTGAAGCATCTTTTCTTTTCTTTTCTTGCGTTTTGG